AGTGTTGTGTATTATTTGTTTGTACCTATAAGCACATTATTTTATATGAGAAAGTAGGAGAGGGAGACTAGATTCCAAGATTCCAGCAGATTAAATGCATGACTATCAAATATTTAACATCCTACTATACAAATGCATTTAAAAATGGTTCAGAATTTTTTTTCTTAAATAACCTTGAAATTTAGATTGAGCTCCAGAGTTCCAAAACAAATACCTATCATGCAAAAACTATATTCAGATACTGGAAAATGTGTTGTGTTTTTATTTGGGTAAACCAGTAAAGTTCACTGGAAATCTACCAAGCCATTATTGTTTGAAAACCTTCCTGGCTGGAGCGAATTAATAGCAGACTTCTAAGGCTAAGCTAGACATGCTGCAAATCAATTGATCCCCCTACCAATCTGCTAAGGTGCATCTTTTCTGGCAAGAATGCCGCTTCAATGGTACTTAATATTGTCACCACATTGCTCCCCCATCAGTCCACTCTGGTTCCTCCACTGAAGGTGTTGTATTATAGCTAAATGTTGACTCTTCTCATCAATGACAGGCAATGGGAAAGACAGATTCTGTACTAGCAAAAAGAACCCCAAAATGTATCATGCATGCAATACATTTCCTAAGATGAGAAGACATGCTAGAGCCATGCATAAGTGCTCTAAGTTTGCCACCGATAATATTCATGATCATTTTTGAGTCGGAGAACTATCTGGATTACAACAGTCTGGTCTTTAGAGACTTACCTTCTACCAACATGTAGAGCCCCTGGAGAGATGGCTCTGCTAGAACCCTGAAATAACTATGATGCAGTACATTCAGTTCCAGCCTCACTAAAGGCCCTAGATTATGTGTGATGGAGAAAAGGAGGCTACTGTAATTTGTCAACTGTAATATCTACACTCACGGAGAAAGACAAACTGACCAACACAATCTTGAATCTCACCGCTGTCAAAAGTTTACACAATGGGACTGTCAAGATAATGCAGGTGGAAAATGACTTGCTGAGCAAGCATAGAGACTTGAATTTGTTGAAAAACAAAAACACGTCTAATTAAGAAAAATAGTGGTGTGTCCTTGTAATCCTAGCACTGGGGAAACAGAGACAATGCATCCCTGAGGGCTCACTGGCCAGCCAATCTAGAGTAACCAGCAAATCTGAGGCCAGCAAGAGACCCTGACTTAGAAAATAGAGTGAAGTGTACTTGGGCAGATGGGACCACATCCAAGTATGCCTTCTAGTCTATGCATGAGAATGAACCTGTACTCAAGGTGCACATGTGTACACACACACACAAACATGTTTTCACACACACAAACTCTCACACAGAATAAGAGATTATTAAAGATTGTTCAAATCTATAGGGCTGGAGAGATGGCTCAGTGGTTAAAAGCATTGCCTGCTCTTCCAAAGGTCCTGAGTTCAATTCCCGGCAACCACATGGTGGCTCACAACCATCTGTAATGAGGTCTGGTGCCCTCTTCTGGCCTGCAGACATACACACAGACAGAATATTGTATACATAATAAATAAGTAAATATTAATTTTAAAAAAACAAATCTATAAACAACTAGCAAGGCACTGAGCTTCCAGGTGTTGGGAAAGAGGTGGGTTCATGGGCCTGAATGCAGAATAAATTGTGGGCAGGGCATCTCAGACCACAGTCTAGCCCTGTGTCCACAATGATCTTGACTTGTAATTACCATTGCACTCTCTGAGTATCCTGATTTAATCCCCGCTACCAATTCTACGTAAATAAAGGATGAAGATAGAACAACTCAGAAGAGAAAATCATCAAATATCTCCCAGGGAAGGTATCCTGTGTGTTGTCACCAGGCCGCCGCACCCCCTCCCTGTGCCTCAGTTCCACTTAGAGTTAAAGGTCCAGCTAGAGACCCTGGCTCTCTACTTCCCTTTTAGCAGTAAAAGGCTGCCATCGACTCACAGACCCAACTCAAGTTTTATAACATCCCAGAGCACCTGACAGTGGTGAAAATGTGCTTACAGTGTTTAACAATCGGGATCAACCTACCCCTGGACCCAGCAATACCACTCTCGGGAATATACCCAAGAGAGGCCCTATCATACAACAAAAGTATATGCTCAACTATGTTCATAGCAGCATTGTTTGTAATAGCCAGAACCTGGAAACAACCTAGATGCCCTTCAATGGAAGAATGGATGAAGAAAGTATGGAATATATACATATTAGAGTACTACTCAGCAGTAAAAAACAAGGACTTATTGAATTTTGCATACAAATGGATGGAAATAGGAAACACTATCCTGAGTGAGGTAAGCCAGACCCAAAAAGAGGAACATGGATTGTACTCACTCATATTTGGTTTCTAGCCATAAATAAAGGACATTGAGCTTATAATTCGCGATCCTAGAGAAGCTAAATAAGAAGGTGAATCCAAAGACAAACATATAGGCATCCTCCTGAATATTAACCTTCATCAGGCGATGAAAGGAGACAGAGACAGAGACCCACATTGGAGCACCGGACTGAAATCTCAAGGTCCAAATCAGGAGCAGAAGGAGAGAGAGCATGAGCAAGGAACTCAGGACCGTGAGGGGTACACCCACACACTGAGACAATGGGGATGTTTTATCGGGAACCCACTAAGGCCAGCTGGCCTGGGTCTGAAAAAGCCTGGGATAAAACCGGACTTGCTGAACATAGCAGACAATGAGGACTACTGAGAACACAAGAACAATGGCAATGGGTTTCTGATCCTACTGCACGTACTGGCCTTGGGGGAGCCTAGGCAGTTTGGATGCTCACCTTACTAGACCTGGATGGAGGTGGGTGGTCCTTGGACTTCCCACAGGGCAGGGAACCCTGATTGCTCTTCGAGCTGATGAGGGAGGGGGACTTGATCGGGGGAGGGGGAGGGAAATGGGAGGCGGTGGCGGGGAGGAGGCAGAAATCTTTAATAAATAAATTAATTAAATAAAAAAATAAACATTTGTGAAAAACTTTAAAAAAAAAACAATTCTAAAGGGAAGTATGTGAAGGGTGCAAACCTTCCTCCCATTCTGGTTGTTCTGTTTACAGCTGACTTGAGAGGGCAATCGAAATTAGCTGCTTCGTTTCATTCAACAATAACCACTCCATTCTTATCACAACCCAAAAAATTCAAAATTATCTTAACAGTTTAAAAAAGAGATCGGTCCACCTGTCTGAAACGAAACTTGTCGGTGTGTCTTCTGCGGTGGCTTCGATGCCTGGGCTACAGGCTGAGTATCAGGATGTACAAGCAGCTGTCACTGCTTTGTTTTTCATTCACAGTAGGTGGTTGCCTGGCAACAAAATACTATTGTCTGTTTCTGTGATCTATTGGCCAATTCTACTGGTGATAATGCTTTTACAGTTTAAAACAGGGCCACCTTTCGGACAAAGAGAGATAAGCAAAAATTCTAAGGCTGACAATAATGTATATATGTGATATATATATATATATATATATGAATACATTGCATGTACCCTAAAATTATGTGTATCAATTTATGACTGTATGCAGACATCAAGACATATTTAGGACATGTTTGTGCTATTATATACATTCTTTTCTAGTCTTCACACATCTAGATTTCGTAGGCCCACAGCCAGCACGTAAATCCATGTGGGAAAATCAGAATACGAACTAGAGAAATCAAAACATAGTGAGAATCATTTTCTCAGCAACAGCAGTGACTTCAGATTTGTCAGAAGTGTCAAACCCCGTTCCCTGAATATGAAGTCCTCCAGACGGCAAGTCTCTTCTTCCTGCTTGTACAATAGTGGGGACGCTTTCCATCTCCTTTAATCACCCCACATATTAAATAAGCTGTTTTGCTTAACATGTGCTGCCAGTCCGTTCAGAGATCACTCAACTAGTGTTGCTGTTTACACATAGGAATCTTTAAAATTTATTCGCCTTAAAAATAACTGAATTGTTCTCCCTGGAATAGACTCACATGATTCTCCACTTTGTTTGGCTATGAGTCCCTAGGGAATTAGTCATGTTATATTCCTCTTGCATAGTTCACCAGCTCACAAATAAAATAACACAGTGTGCTCAATATAAAGTTGCCAACATTACCCTGCATCCACTGCTGCTTGCTTCCCATTGACAAGTTACTAAAGATAAGAATTACAATATTCTTAAGATGTACAGACAACATCAAAACAGTAGGAAGGATTTCAAGCTCGACAATATTAAAGGCAATCGGGCTTTGAAATGAAGAGAAATCAAAGTCATTTATACGCATTTCTGGAACGGAACTACACAACGTCAGGACAGTCTCGGGATTTTACACAATGCTCATCCGTCTTCTCTCACGATATTTCAAAAGCACTTTAACTAATGCTTCCCTCTAGAGGGATGAAATTCATTACCATTTGCAAATCTGCATATTACAAGAAAGCAGAATAATCGATATCCATTATGTGGGCAGACATTATTACTATAAGTCTCCTATCAAAAGTGCAACGCTAGCAAAACAAAAGCAAAGTGTGTTAATCACAACCTAAATACTAGACAAAATTACTGCTTTTCCAGAGAGCGGTCTTCAGCAGAACGTAGCTGCCTCCCAGTAGAGCTCTCGGGGATTTCACATCTCAACCTACAAAAGACCCACCACTTTCTTCTTAAGCACCAGGGTCTCAACCATCAATCAATTTCCTTTCTCCTTTCTCCACCGTCTTCAGATTCCTTAAGCACCCTTCATTACTTCCTCCAAAGGACCAAACTCAAATTTTCAGCCCAATTTGCTGGGAATCTCCCCTTGTGCACTTGTTTCCTGCTTTCTGCTAAAGCTACTTTTAAAAATCGCTACCAGCGAACAAACATGATCTTAGCAAAATTTAAAAATGTGTAAGGTTACAACAGACGGCCACTGCGGAAGGGGTAGTAAGGCGACCGGTGTAAACTGAAGGAAGGAGGGTGGCTCGGTTACACACACTGGAATGTCTATACCTTAGAACTGGGCTTCCCCACCTGTCGACCCCACTTCCCCCATGTGCTCGCTGCAGGATGACAACCACAACACTCCAGAACCACCCCCCCTCCAAGGAGGCGGGGTTATGCCATCAGCCAATCAGAGCCCGCGATCCCGGTTGTCCAACCTATGGGGTGGCTGTGGCCGTGCAGGGGGAGGACATGGGGTGGTCCGGGAGGGGCCGCGTCCGTGGGAGGAGTGCACGTGTCCAGAGAGGCTGGGAACCCGCGGGCGTCCAGCTGCCGAGGCGCCGGCTCGGTGTCCGAGTCCAGCTGCCCAGGGCCTCCTTGGGCAGGGCAAGGCAGGCGATCGTCCGCCGAGAAAGACCTGTCCATGTGTCCAGTTCCCGGCGAGGGGGCAGACACAAATAACAACAATAGTACCTCGCGCAGACCGGGCGGGGAGGAAAGTTTCTGGCCCGCGCCAGAGTAGAGACCGCCAAGGCAGGGAGATGCTAAGCAAGACAGGAGGGTGGCACTGTAGGAAGAAGCAGACAACCGGAGGGCTGCACTGGCAGGACGGGGTCCCGGGTGCAGTCCCCTGGAGGCGAGCCGCGGGGTGCGCTGTCCAAGGTGCAAGGGAGGCAGTTGGTGCTTGGCAGGCGCGGAGCCCGAGCGGACACTACCGGCCCGCGGCAAAAAGAGAGGAGAACAGCTGTGTGGGGCGCCGGGCACCCCCAGCTCGTAAAAGTGCGGGAGCCTGGGGAGCTGCGGGGAAGGGCGCACGGGGGCTCCCCCACACCGCTGCCTTCCAGCCTCACCTCCAGCTCCGCTCCCCTCCCCCCTCGCCCACTCCTCTTGGTGCCCGGTCCCCGGGCCGCGGCGGGGGCGGGACCGGGAACCCCCTCCCCTCTGACTGCCAGTCCCGACGCCCTGGGGATGATGCGGGCCGCCGAGCCGCTTACCTGGGGCCACGGTGCGGGGATTCAAGGCAAGCGAGCGCGGGGCGCGGCGCGGCTCCTCCTCGCCTCGGCGTCTCCTCCGGATCGCGCTTCTGCCGGACTCCGTCCGGGGCGCAGAGCAGCCAGACGGGGCCAGACTGCAGCCGCCGCTCGCGCCGCCGCCGCTGCCGCAGACAGAGGACGCCCCGTGGCGGCTGGAAGCCTGTGTGAGTAGCAGCGCCCGGGAGAGTGGGATCTGCTCAGGGGCGCTGGAGACTCCGCGGCTCGGGGCGCGCGGGCGTGCGCACGCGCGCCTGCCAGTGTGAGTGAGTGTGCGCGCGCGCGCCCAGGGGTGGGGGGAGTCGCGAGGGGCGGGGGGAGCGAAGCTGAAAGATGCTCGTAGGGACCGAGGCAAAATTCGTCGCCCCCGGAAATCCGTAAAGCGGAGGAAGGATGGGCCGTCTGTCTCGACCGGAGGAGCTGCTGGCCCCGCGGTGAAGCCAGTAGAGAGGGCAGCGTGGCGCGCTTGAGCTCCGGATCCCGACCGGCCTGGGGCCCGCTGAGCGCTTGGCCACAGACACTGCACAAGTCGCTCCCGCAGCACTGGGTCGCGCTATCCCCTCGGGGGAGGGGCCGAAGGGACTAGCTCGTGCCACTGCTGCCGGTTTGGATTTCTAGGCTGGACGTTCAGGGACAGGTCGTGGTACTCCACAGTTGCCATGGCGACCTTGGAGGCGCCAGGCCAGAGCCTCCCAGTGCAGGGAACTCGGGTGCACGCGGTGAACTCCGGGCTGGGAACTTGGGGTGCACTGCTCAATCCAGTTTAGGATAAGGTTGAGGAACCTGGGCAGAGAGGGTGTTCTCTGGGTGTTAGGTTGCCTCAGCAGTGGTTGGGAGCACGGCAGAAGAAATGTCACCTTTTGTTCTCCTTGGAAGCCACTTTGCCTCAAAGTTATCCAATTTCCACAAAAAGTGTCTGCCTTCTTTTTGTTAGGATTCTGCCAACTGTCCAGGCATACAAGTACATCTTTCAAGTAGGCTGGTCCAGGAACTCCCTAATCACCAGAGAACTCTAAACCTTAGGAACTGTGGTTAAATCACTTACCTGTCCTATTCCTAAAAGTACATCGACCTGTCAGGATACTTTTCCATGCTTATTTTAAATAAGTAGACTTTATTCACCCAAGAGTTCCTTCGAGGAGTGTAAGGTCTGTGTCACGGTTGTCATGTCCTTCCTGGCAGGCATCCTCAAGACTGGGTTTATGTTTTGCACTTCTGCCTGCCCTCCGGTCCGTGCACAGTGCCACAGTGCATTATGTGTTCTCTGTAAATGTTGAATGAATGACATTGTTTTCTCGCTTCACATATCCTGAAGGCAGAAACTTGGATGCTGGGAATGTCATTACCATCCCACTAGGCTTGCTTGATTTAAACTTATGCCAGTTCCCTGGGTGAAGGATATTTTCCCCTCTGGCTGCAGGGCCCCAGTGCAAAGGAAGAAAATCAGAGAAGGCTGACCCATTGTGCAAATTTAGCAAAAGATTCCCGCAAAGAGCACTCTGAAAGGAACTCAGTGATAGATTCCGCATGAGGCGGAGATAAAGGTCCTGGGGACACCTAACCTCCCAAAACCACAAAGTCACCAAGTCAAGAGCACTTCGCAGTTCACACACTCCCTTCTGTAGTAAAGGCTAGGGAAGGAGATTTTAAATGATTTTCTGTTTCTAAAAACTGGTCAGAAGCAAGCTCTTCTCTTGATGGGAGCACTAGGCCCTGAACACTGGCCCATCCATTGCAAGGTCAGCAGGGACCGCTAATTCTGCCCTTACCATCAGGCTCCCTTCCTTCTATCTCGGTATTCCCAGTCATCTTCTTAGAAGCAGGAGCACTCAATTTCACATTCCACGCTCAATTTCCATCCCTTTGAACTCGGGCTCTTCTATGAGCTGCCTCTCCTGCCAGGCATGATACCACAGCTGCGAAGTATAACTGAAATAAGAGTGAAAACTAAAGAGGATTTATCTGGATGCTACCAAACAAATCCACTTTATGTCTTCTCTTAGGGGTCCCTCTCGATGACTTCTCCATTGTCATCCCATTTACAGTTTTCTTTGGAGACATTGCTGTGATCTTGGAATTCTTGTCCTTTGGTTAAATAGGAAGCAGAGATTATCTAAAACTTTTACTTGAAAGGAATTTCGGAAACCCGTGGACAGATATGCAGAGTGGACTCCTGACAGCCACCTGGGCAACAAATAAATGTGAGGCAAAGTCTTGCAAGGTCATTGGCAAGGGCTTGTAAAGTTACACCAGTTTTCCACGTGTGTGTCTTACCTGCTGGAGTGGGAGAGTGCTAGCCAAGCTGCAGCTTCTCCACCAAGATAAGGGGCCAATGTCTTGGAATTAGGTACATAGCGATTGTTCTTTACCTCTGTTTAAAAGATACATCATCGAGGGCTGGAGAGATGGCTCAGCCGTTAAAGGCTAGGCTCACAACCATAAATATAAAAGATACATCATCGAAATGGAAAAATAAACAACGGAAAGGAGGACTAACAATGTCATACATTTAAGATTTCTGACTGATGTCATGATAAAAGTTTCAGGGCAGGAGAGATGGCTCGGCTGTTAAGAGCATTTGCTGCTCTTGGAGGGGGCCCAGGTTTAGTTCCCAGTCCCCACAGTCACTGTAGACAGAACCACTTGTGACTCCAACTCTAGGGAGAGCCACTACCTCTGGATCACCAGCCTCCTCAGTCATCAATCAGCATTGATGATCACAAACTTACATGCAAGACACATACATACACATAAACAGAAGTAATGAAATATGTTTAAAAGATATTTAGCTATTTAGATAGTAGGCAATAATGAAATGTCTAGCCGGGAAACCCATTCCTAAGAGAGAAGGATTCTTAATATAACAGCTCTTCTCCATTGTTCTGTAGCTGCCATGAAGCACTCAAACACCAACTTCTACAGAAACACGGGATTGTGACAGAGAGCCCGAGGCAAACACTTATAGCTGATCTGGTCATGCCTGATCAGTCCATCTGTCTAAATAAAAAGCCAGCGGCTTCCACCTCCAAAGATCAACAGATTTCAGCAGGAAGATGTTCTGTGAGTGTCAAAGTCAGTTCCTCTCGCTGGGAGCACACTGCCCCAAATTCTCTGAAGTGAGAAGGCAGGAACCGTTAGCTGAAGTGCTGCTGTGATTTTAGTGGCTGTGAGCTCACATAAGGATGCAGGTCATTTCCCTCATAATTAGGTCCCAGATCATTTAGTCCACTTGAGTTTTAAATGATAAAAAGAACCTTGACCAGCACCTAAAATCAAAGTACAGTGTGGAGCCTTGGACAAGGAGCAGGCTCAGGTTACTTAGTTTATAACCACGCTGTGACTGTTAACATGGCCTTATTCCAGATACTTCTTAGGGCAACTTAATTCTGGCCAGATGTTAGACATCATGAGCAAAGTCAAAAACCAGAAAGGAACTTATAATTTATCCCAAGCAGAAGTGGACAAATATCTCTTTCAGCCATCCGTGAGCATGCTGCACACTGGTCATCGTAATGCTGTGTGGAGTTACACATCTCCTGGAAGCCAACAGGAGATTTTCGCCAGGAAAGTGAACATTTGAGTATACAAGGCTTTGCACCAAGTCTCAGTGAGTTAGGAGAACACATTCTAAGGTGGAGATCCATGCTTAATATAGATCCTTTTGCACACTGTCAATTTGCAGCTAAAAGAAAACAAAGTAGCGACTTAATAGTATCTCATTCTTTTTCTGATAGCAAAGGGGTAAATTTTATTATATGTGTGTGTAATTATATATTTATAATTCAATAAACCTCACTTTTAAAAATCTTTCAAACAAAGCCTTGACTTCCCTTGTTGCCTTTGAATCAGTTCTTTTAGATCCTCTCAATTTCAAGCTCTATCCTATCTCTTTTAGGGTCTTTATTTTTAATCTAATGACCTACTTGTCAATATAAGGAAGATGCATACACAGATCAGCAAGCTAAACAAGTGCTTATTGAGTAGCTACTTTATAATCCGTTCTGCTCTTCTCACTTGATTGGCAATAGAAATGAGGTGGTTTGCCTTTAAGACAGCTACAGTTTAGCTCACATTGTTCTTAAGACTAAAAAAGAGTGAGCATATGCAAAATTTATCAACTGATCAAGTGTAGCAAATAAACTTCTATTTTAATTACCAAGGAGAATTAATGAAGCTGTTGCTAAGTAGGCCGTTTGGTCAATGATTGAACATTAGTGGCCAAGTCCATACTCATATTTTCATGGTCAGACTTCCTCCCTCATAGTAATAATTTCAATGAACATGTCTCCTGGTTTGTTGCTGTAATCTGAATTTGAACTGAAGGTGTGAAGAAAATTGCTGAGAAGTCAGGTGTCGACAGTGGCAGTGAGGATCCCTGGGCAGAAAGGAATAGATTAGAATATGCTAGAGCTTACGTTAGCCCATCAAAGAATTTGTAGGGTCACCGTGTATTTGAACTCTATCTATGAAGACCCAGAAATCCATTCTGGGATAACTGTTATGTAAGATTGTAGTACCGATGTCCTTAGGGCATGTAATTTTCTTCCTGCCCAGTTTATTTTTACTTATTAACACAGATACTTTTAGTTAATATGACTTTTAAAAATACAATTTTCAAGTAATTAGTAGAAAAGCAGTAATCTACAGAACAACATTTCCGTGGTGGAAAGCAGTATAACAAAGATGCCTTTCCCACTTCATATAGGGTGCCGTTAGCAGAAGGTTACAGAATCAAGGCTGGTGAAAGCCCAACCATCATGCATCAAAGTTTACATCATCTGCCTTCCTATAGGTTTTCGAGGATGTATGTGGGGGAGCCAGGACTGCCATACTTGACCTTTGTGTGACCTTTTTAGAGGTAGTCTTAGTGTAACATGAGAATGACACAGGACTCTCTACCGTAAGAGCTAAGTTCAAATCCCTTCCCAAACAGTGACCTGCCATGCAACCTTGGGGGCCTCACTTACCACACTTTCTTTGCCAGGTCTGTACAAGCTGGATAACACTTCCTTATAAGAACATTCCATGAAGCGACATGAGATGGATTCCCTGGCATTGCAGAATACTGGCTCCACAGCAAGTGTGTGGCAGAACCTTGGAAGACAGACCTGATTGAGAAGCTCCTGAAACAAGGGTGGTAACTTCTGCAGGACTGTACCACTGAATGGGGTTGATGATTCCCGGGAATCCTTTCTGAAGCTATTTTAAGAAAACCACCGCAACCGAAAGTTGGCAGAAAGTGATACATGCAGGAAATTGCAGATTCCATCTTCTAGAGGTGCTGTAATTCTGTAGCTTCTGCCACTATTGCAAAAGCCCAAGCCTTTCTCTCCATCTGTTTTTAATTACTATGGTTTTTTTTCTCTCTAGTATACAGATTCTGATTCCCCGGTGATGTTTTGCCCCCTAATTTAACTATGAAAACATTCATTTTCCAGATTAATACCAATGTTTAAAATTCCTTTCTTTAAAAAAAAATGACAGTGCACTGCCCACAGATGTGCTCGCTGGGAGAAAAAATCAGCAATACAAAAATATAGAGAGAAAAATGCAGAAACATTACCTTGGAGGGGCCAATCATGGTCATATTTTAATGTATACCCTCACAGAAATTTGTTTATATTTATTTTCTTTAAATATTATTTAAGTAAAGCAGTAGCTATTAAATGTTATCATTGCAGCAAGAAAAAAAAGTTAAAGACATTAATAAAAAATTCAAAATTTTCCCATGCATTTTCTTTTTCAAGTTGGGCTTCTTACTCCAGCAAGTCCTTGGAATGAGGATTTTTACTGGACATCCTTGAAACCTTATGTCTTTACTTCTCTTCTTTCACCATTTCTAACACCCAGTCCTTCTTAATGGTCCTTTAAAAGTTTAATTTTACCTTGCTGACGTGTTCAGGAATTACAAGCCGTGCTCCTTGGCCCCCGGCCATTCTGTGGAAACTTTGCATTACTTAACCTCCACCCCCCAAAGCAGGTCTAGCTCTAACCTTGGACTTGGTTCTGTGTTCCCTGATGGAGCAGGAAAAGAGTCTTGGTTTCAATAAGTAACCAATGCTCCCTGGAGCCACCATCTCTTAGATCTGCAGAAGGCTGGCTCAGGAGTGGCGAATTATTTAAATAGATGTTTTATGTCCATTGCTACGGGCAGAATGGAGAGAGGTGTCAAACAGTTCTCCATAATTAATGCAAATGGCGGCTAAAATTCCAATGGACTTTCCTTTCGCAGTTGATTTGTTGTGTTTTTCCCAGGAAGACATTATATTCAATAAAAAGGGCAGCAAGGTTTATCGTTTTGCCAGTTTGCTCACTGCCTGGAGGGCAACAGGTCCCCAGAGTAATAATACCTCAACCATACCATCCCACTATGCAAATCTGCTCGCCTTTCTTAAAAAGAAAACTAAACAACTGTGGAAGAAGAGAGGGGAGGAGGCCAAGGAGAAGGGAAGGAAAATCAGCTGAGCTGTCTGGAGGAGTTGTCTCAGTCTCTTTCCTGTAGTGATAAAATGCCATGGGCAAGGCAACTTGTGGAAGAGTTTATTTGGCTTAGAGGGATAATGGTCCATGACGGAGAAAGGAGGTAGAGGCTGGAGCAGCAGCCGAGAGCACGCATCTCAAACTACAAGCATAAAGCACAGAGAATGCCTGGAAACTGGGCATGACACTGGAAACATCAAAGCCCCCCTCAGTGATGCTTCCTCCAGGTCGGCCACACCTCCTAGTCCTCCCAAAACAGTGCCACGAGCTGGGGAACAAGTATTCCATCGCCAAAAATATAGGGAGCATCCTATTGAAACCATTGCAGGAATGTAGTCTGTCAACTACCTAGTCACCCTATATTGTAAATGATGTAAGTTTTACACAAGTAAGTGACCACGCTGAAGTGCATTCCATATAAGAAAAATGTGAAAACAATGCAAAGGAGTGAAATACAATGTCTCTTGGAAATTATATATGGGAAATAACAACATGCACAGAAAAGTTTCGGTGGGTGCTAAATTGCAAAAGAAAGATGTAAGAATTGATGGCACAGATGTAGCCTTAATTAGAGGAGCTGGTCATGGTTACCGAATCATTGAATTTGAGCTTCTAGGAAAGCAGATTCCCCTGGCAGAAAATCATGTATCTTTATTCTTTCTTGTACTAAGTGTTCTGTGTTTGTTTGCAAAGATCTCCTTTGGGGTGAAAAGGGTTTTAGACAGAGGGACAAATGAGTCTTTTCTGAGATAGACTAAAGTTATGGCACTGAACCTGAGTAGCACAATTAGAACAGAAATAGAAAAACATGTTAAACAGCATGAGGCCAGTGATTCAGAACCAAGACCATGGGCAGTGAGAAGCCATAGAAAGCCCTTCCCATGTGACATGCGACTAACATGAAGCCATCACTTCCATGCCCTTTGACTACTTTAAAGAAACGACTTTAATTAATATAATGAAACCATATTTGACTATAATGATAAAAATAATTAATGGGTGCTGAGGGAGACAGAGAGAGGGAGGGAGGGAGATTCATTGATTCATTCTTCTCCAGGGACAAGTCCCCTAATGGGTTACCCAGTCCTAAATACCTAAATAGTCAGCCCTAAACATACACATGGACTCAGTATATTATATATGTAATTATATATATGTTTACATTTATATATAAAATATCACAATAATAATTTTAAAAGTTATGAATTTGGCAGAGAGAGTAGGGGCACAGGAGGAATTGGAGGAAGGAGAGGGAAGGGTGGGAATTATGTAAATACAGTATTCGTGTACTAAATCCTCAAGCAAACTTTAAATTTTTTAAATTAAACAACAATCTTTTTGTATTATTGCTTAGCTACTTCAGTATCAGCTCTAATGTATGCTCTATACATTAATCTTCTATACTTAAGTATAGAGGATTAATCTCTATACTTAATCTTCACAGTCACCAGAATTTGGTTATAAGATAGGCAACATGAAAGAGGAAAATATCAATCATCAGACTGGACTGGATTTGTATCACAGGGTGTGAACCTCTGAACCACACCAAGCTTCGGTTTTCTCATCTGCAAGCAGGAATAACTTTGTGTCTTTGTGTCAGGACTGACTTTCTGTAAAGACAGGATATGACACTCAGCATTCCCTTGCTTTCTAAAGTTGGCATGAATCTAAAGATAGGAGGGTGTGTGGAGTTTACCCCTCTTCCCACTTGTCTGTTTTCTGTATGTCTTCAATATGTCATCTCTCTCCCTCATTTTCTCAGCCTGACTAGCTATGTCTCAAAAAAAAAAAACCCTGTATGAACTTGAGAATATTTATTCATCACAAATGATCTCCCTTTGCATACCTCCTGTGTGTAACCTGCAGTCTGAAGTTGAAAATGTTATTGGATTTAAATTTCCAGATATATAAAGATATGAAAAAGAACAGTCAGGTGGAGACGGCGCACATCTTCCCTGTGCCTTCTGTCCAACTCATGTCCCTCACCCCGCCACCGCACCATCAGTTCCCTAAGATGTCATCTAGTAGGAATCCACCCCCGGGGACTACACAACCCTTCCGTGTATCGATACCGTAAAGCTGTAGCCAAAACCATGACCGTGAAGATCGCTAAAGGGCTGTAGTTACACGATCTAGCCTCAACCACGCAGAGAGTTTCGTAGTGGGGGAACCATATGGTTTTAGACATAAAAGAATTGAAGTTTTTTTTCACACTTTAGGCCTTCCAAGAGTCAGCTCTCCGTGTGCCGAGACTCAGCTCGGGATTTACATGTCTTCATCTGTGAATGGGGGATTTAAAGCATAGTGACGAGTCGCCTGATGATTAAAGCGACTGTATCCAAAATGAGTTGGTGAGGTGGGTGGTGGATGCCCTAGTCTCCCTTCTCTTGCAGTTATAACCATGGCAATCAGAAGCCACTTGGAGAGGAAAGGGTTCATTTGGACTGTGTGTCTTGATTACAGTCCACAGGAACCCAAGCAGGGCAGAAGCCTGGAGGCCGGAACTGAAGCAGACACCACAGGTGGGTTGCTGTTTATCAACTTGTTTGTGATGGCTCATTCAACCTGCTTTCTTACACCATCCAGGCCCTTCCTACAGATGGCATCGCTCACCCCCACCGACTTGCCTACAAGCTGGCCTAATGGAGGTACCATCTCAACTGAGGCTTCTGCTTCCTAGAGGACTCTAGCGCGAATCAAGTTGACCAAAATAAATCAAAAGTAACAACACATTCTGTGGGCTCCCCTTAAAGGAATCTAACAGAGAGGGTGTGTACAGCGCGCCGTGATCAGTTACGACCCTGCTCATCCGACAGTTCTCAGATGCTATGGAACAGACACTCCAGACGGCGATGCAATCGGGGCAGACTCGGGTAGTATTAATCCATGAGCATTTCAGCGGTTTCAGCCTAGGACGATTATAGAAGGAAGCGCAGAACACAAATGGAAATTAGCCCTTAGCCGCTGCTTAGTGGAGCAATTTACATTTTAGATTACCAGAATAGCAACACTGGTCCAGAAGAGGAGAAAACATTCTTATTGTAGTAGATCTCCCACTTGTTAGAAATTTTGTTCTTACTGTAAAGGAAGAGAAAAATAAATGTAGCTGGAAACGCTAGTCTGCACCCGAGAGGGTATTTTTGGTTTTTGTCTTCCAGAGTAGTTGGCGTTGTCTTTCTTTCTACCCAGACTCTGGCAAAGGGGATCCGTTTTGAGCCTAAAAGACTGAAATTTAAAGGAAATTACTGATGTTTTGTTGACAGCCATGCTTAATTATCTGGATGTATTTGTGTTTTAGTCAGCTGACCTGTCAGGACTAAAATTTGTGGGAATCCTGTGTAATTCTAGAAATTGAAATGTCAGTTATGACTTTGTCTTATTGTCCCCTAAAGTCATTTCTGCCTTCCTTTCACATTGTCCTTCATAGGATCACCTATAACCAATAAATTCCATGGAACTTTCAGGGAATGCCGCATCAAGGCACTCTTCAGGGCATCCCAACAACGTTGTGAAAAAAAATATGTAGTAGCCATGCATAGAATCACAATCCACTGATCTAGACTCACAGAGATGTGCACTGTAGACCTGGGAAGCCATTTCACCAGATCTTCTGAATGGTCTCGCCTTGGAGATGCTGGTAT